CAGCTGCCTTAGCTGCAGGTTTTTTATATCTTCTTTCCTTTGTTGCAGTCCTCTCTTGCTTTATCCCCTGGAGCAGGATGTAGAGCTTCAACAGGCAAGTCTCCTTCACTACTTGAGCCTGAGCAAAGTAGAAGGAACATCGTGTGCTTGTATTGTAATTGTAAAGATGGAATCACGGAGAAAGGGATCACATTTGCATTGGAGTAGAAGAGCACAAAATCAACATGGCATGCTTCAATTAAATTAATAAACTCATAGATTAGAAATTATTATTGTGGATATAGCCTACTTTGGTTCTTTTTTAGTAGGTCCTGCAAAATGGGGGCTGCAATATTCTAAAAAGTACTAGAAAAAGAAATGCAAGCATTGGTAGTTTTCTGAATAGTCAAACATTACATGAATGGTAGATAGCAAAGAGAAAAGATGACCAACATAAAGGGGTCTAGCTACCTTATAAAGTGTGTGTAGAGAAACGCTATTTTAATATAGCCAAGTGTGGATTTACATATAGCCAAGTGTGAATTTACATAGTCAGGAGCAAGAGTCTAGGCAATACGTTGGGAGTAAAGTACCTGAAGAAGCATAATATCAAGAATAGAATGTGAAAATTGAAGACTAATTTTATTTATTTTTAATACCAGCAAGCATAAAACAGTTACAGGGGAGTCTCTAGTCAGTAGTTATGATATTTCTCTATTTACTTTTACCAAGGTTAAAAACTGCATGCAGTCTGGAGAGCAATAGCTTAAAAATAATGTGTTGCAGGTACACTGAACCCAAAACTTTGATAATGGAAACGTCTGTCTAGAAGACAAAAATCTAATAGCTGGAAGTTGAAGCTAGACAAGCGAAGAGTAAAATAAATAATCCTAGAGAAAATGCCTTCCTTTTTAATAGAATACTTAGCATGAATTATGAAAATTGATAAGAAATTCTTCATCATCATAATAAATAAATGTTTCAGATTTTGAGAGGTTAGAAATTGTCATCTATAATTCTGGTAGATAGCAGCTGTCAGCTTCTGCTTATAAATAGTATCGAGTGCTCTAGTGATTGTAAGGACAGGAGAAACGCATAGCCAAAAAATGAAAATTGTAAGGCAGAAGCTCTAGAATTGGCTCTGAAGTTGTGATTTAAAAATTAAATAATACATTTCCTGAAATTCAATCACTGAGCTGTATTAAATGAGCTTCATGTATTTTATTAAAATTTTTCAGTTTTGATTTTTGAGTAACCTACCTTTTTCAAATTCTAAGAATTCCAAAGACTGATATCTCATAATATTTCATAATTTCAATTAGATTAAGTAATTTGTTTAACTTATTCCTGTTCAATATTAATAGTATCTCATTGATTTGATAGCTGCATTATATCCTTCTAGTTTTGTGTAATCTTGTTAGCAACATCATAACTTTGGTGCCTTTTTTTTTCTTCAATGTGATTAATTCATTACTAAATTTCATTTCTTTTAGTAAATGACTTCAGAGTTGTTGAAAGTGGATGAATAGACGTGTACCCTCTTGTCAGTATAAAACTAGCTCTTACTGGGCCTTTGTTAGCTGCTTTTCATGTAACTGGCTTAGCAGAAGATACTTGACTTTGATTTGTTTTTTCTTCTGTTTTTTACAAAATCTCTTCTTGGATAACTTTGTAGCTGAAACTGGGCCTAAAAGTGACTTAATATTTCCTCTTTTGCGCTGCAGTAGAAGACTTTGCTTTATGCATCTGCTATTTAGTGATTCAGTTGTGCCTCCGCTGTTTAATGATTCATTTTTAACATGTGAACATTTTAGTGAAATTACCACTCTACAGATGATACTTAGATCAGGATTTCCTTTTTGTCAAACAGTCTGATAGAGATGGAGGGCGGATAAAAGTAATCTGTTTAGATTTAATCCTGATAAGACATGCAGTGTTTTCATGCTGGTAGAAAGCTTGTAGTGAAATTTGCATTGTATGTATATTTAGTTTTTAGTAATGGAGAGTATGCCAGGTTCCTAGCTAGTTACAGTTTTTCTAATCATCTTAGGTTCTTTTGCTGGTCCTGGGTCTTTGCCATTTTGTGTTCATCATTAATCAAGTAAATGGCCATTAATGCACATTTTTACTACTATTATTTACATTTTTATTTCATTAAATGTAGATTATAGCAGAATATACTACTGTAGTATGAATTTATGTCATCGTTACTCCAGATGATGAGTGTCCAATATGAAAAAATACAGTTAGCATACCTTGGGTACCTGGTATCTCAGATTTTCACGAGATTATTGCCTTCCCACTGATACGTCGTTCTCCCATGCATTAAAGACCTCAGAGTACATTGTGCCATAACAAATGGAGCGGCTGTGTGGTTATTTCTCAGTGTATTTCTGAAGTGTTTATATGTTCTGGACAGATGGGAGAAGTGCAAAAGGAAGAAGAGGAAGATTGTCCACTTCTGAAAAATTTCACTACTGAATGGGTGAGCTGTAAGCTCAGAGGATGTTGGGTTTCAGTCTTAGCTTGCTTTCAGCTGTGCTTCCTAGTCTGGGTTGAAAGTACCATTTGACTGAGGTAAGAAAGTAAGTGTGGGTGGGTGGGTTTGCAGCTCAGCTAACATCTAGGCTGTGAAGGTCCAGGATCTGCAATAACCTGACTTAAATCTTCAGTTAAGATGTGATATATTGGTGGTGGTTTGGTCTGGTGGGACAGACGATTAGTGTCCTTATTCTGTGTACTGAAATGGGTGTGCATTTGTTTCAATTGTATTTCAATATATTAGTAGTAGTTCTGTAAAATCTGAAACAGTCTTTTATACTGGTAATCAAAAAGTTTACTGGTGTTTGTCACTGAGTTGAGGTAAACAACCTTGCTTCCGCTCTCGATTCCAGTCTTTCAGCTTTCAATGACCAGAAGCCCTGCAGTATTTCAATGAGACTGTCGGCTTTCAAATTTATTAGATATTCATAAATAGTCTGGTATGTTTGATCAATTTGGTCGAAAGGTGAAGCTGTTCAACCTGTCTTGCATATTGCTGATGCCACCAGCTGTGGCAGACTAAAAAAAAAAAATAATTGAGAAGATGGAGCAGATGGCCAAAGATAAATACTCTTCTGCATTGGAGATTCTTTTATAACAATCTTGATTAAAGCAAATTTGACTTGTCTGGAGTTTTCAGTCTGCTTGCTGTGTTGTTGTATTGAAGAATATAGTTACTTGTAATATGGACAGCAAGTTTTCAAATGTGTTCTGTCAGAAGGATGTGTAGTTTTGCGTAATAGGTCAATGTTTTGGAACCTTGTGAATTTTTCACACACTTTTCTACTGGTTTGCAGTTTATTATTGGATGCTTATTGGAATACGTTAGAATATTAATGTCGATTTGGAATGCATATTTTAATACTAATATCAGTGTTACAAACCAGATTATTTGTGCAGTTCAGATCAGCTCGTGTTGCACGTTTGTAGAATCACTGGCGCATATTATGTTACTTGCCTTTTTTTAGGTGAATAATAGATATCATTATCACACTTTTCAAAAGCTAATCGTAAAAATGACTGTACATCTTTTAAACGTTATTTATTGGAAGTCTGCAGGATGGCTGATGGTATGTGGGTTTTCTTAGGCTTTTTACCAGTATGCTGTTTTAAACAGCTGAACCATTTTTAGCTATATAAAAGACAACACATGGCTGAAAATTTGAGGGGGAATGGAGATAAGTATTACACTTGTGTCTTACAAACAGCTGTACATTCGTTTTCTTTCCAAACATTAACAAAGCCAACTTATACTTCATATGCCATGGTTTTGGTTCTATGGAATTTGAAGAAATGATTGCTTTTGGATTCTGCTAATATAAGGAAATATTACATGATCAGGGTCAGTGTTGCAATTGTTTTTAAACAGGTATTCAATCCATTTATGCCCCTTTCAAATAAAACGTAGCCCCTAATATGTTTGAAGACGTGTTAGGAATTGCCATTTCTTAGTACAATTAAGGGAGAATTCTGGCCTGCAGTATGGTAGGAGAGGAAAGGAGGAAGAAACACAGCAGCTACCTATTTGCTACCATATCATGTAAAGGGAACATGGATGTTAACAAGGTTGTAGTGATAGAGAGGGGAAGATCCGTGTTAACCCTTTCAGTGCTTCTCCCTTCCCCTTCTCACAGCAAATTTGTGCCTGAGGTTAAAAATAGGACAGTTACCCTGACAAATGTGGACAGATTGTTTTGAGACTGTGTTGTAGATTTATTCCCAGGCTGTCTTTCAAGAGCTATGTAAGAGCTATGGTTGTGAGTGGAAAAAAACTCCCTGTTTATGTTGACTGTGGAAGCTGCACTAACTACAGTTCCATTATGGCTATTACCGTCATGATGGTTAGCGTTGTGTACGTTTGAGAATCTTCAACTAGAAGTAAATTGAAATCTGTTGTTGCTGGGCAAAGCTTCAGGCACTTACTTTAATGGAGGTCTGAACTTAGATAGGGATTTTCTAATCCTGGAGTTGGCTACAGATAATTACTTCTTTGGTGGTGAAAGTAACGGGCAACATTATAGGAAATCTGCAGGGAGGCAGAGGTGCGTCTGTACTACTCTGACAACTTTGATGTATGATAGACCTGAACGTTGTTGAAAACTAAACAGATGTTGCTTATGTATGTTTGCAACACTACCTGCAGTATACTAGCACTGGAGTCTAATGGATATGATATAACAACTGGAAAAAATGACAGAGGAAAAGGTTTTAAAGAAAAAAGACCTTCTGGTTTACTGTTCTGAAGGAAAGGCTCAAATACCTCTGCCTTCATTGAAGGTTCAAGAGCTTGTAATTTACATCCTTAGAGATATGCCTTTGATCTTTTTTGAAGGATCTGAGATGTCATTTTTATGTTTATAGATGGGGAACACATAAGAAAGAAATTTAAAAATTAATTTACAGGTTACTTTTAAATATCTACCAGGTAGAATTGCTGTTTGAGAAGATGCTTATAGTTTGTGTTTGATGTGCATTTACAGTGTCCATATATGGGATTTGGTTTTATGATAAGGAAGAATGCCAAAGAATTGCAGAGCTCATGAAAAAGTAAGTGATGGGTAAACAAGACTTTTTGTGCTTGCTTTATGTATGTATTTCTGTACATACATGCACATTATATTACTAGGATGGTCATACCTTTCTACTTTAAACCTATATTTACAGACTTTATTGCAAGTAAAATTGTCACACACCTGCATTTTGTATAATCAGAAATAAGTCACTGTATTGCAATACTTTTTCATAGTTTGCTGTGCAGCTTTCCAGCTACATCAGAGTATAACAGTTCATCTGATTTATTTCCTGATGACTCAGAGATGTTTTAAAGAACTGTATTCTTTGGGGGTTTAATATATTTTTCAGTTTGGTGAGATTTTCTTTTTTTTAGTGTTGCTGGTACCTTTTTTCCCCCCTATGTCAATGTGAGGGCTATCATGAAGGCATACTGTAATAATACAATTTCTGTGATTTTTATCCTGGTTTTAAATCATGGCTGAATTCCTGCTTCCTCATTTCTTAGCAATATGTACAAAATTCACTTTGTTTTTGGAATGTAAAGCAAGACTTTAATTAGCTTTAAATTCATTACTTTTATGTACATAATATTATTTTATGCATGTTATATGATCTTTAATTTTGCAATCAAGTCCGAGATTAAAATTTCAAACAGAACTGTATTCTCAGCTGTATTTTAATCTAACAATATCATGGATAGTTCTTTCACTGTTGCTGCCTTCTTCACATGGCCAGGATGGACAGGGCCCATTCTTCTGCTCTACCATCTGGTTCGGCTAACGGCTTGTTTGCAGTGATCCCTTTCTTATGACTTCATTCTGCAGGTTTTCATGTTTGTTTGGAGGAGGAAGGAGCTGAAGTCTTACAAATTTTTATCAACATATGCAATCTAAATTTTTTAGAGATATAATGTGGAGGATATAGTAAAGGGGCCCAAGAGGAACAGGCAGAGATTCGGTTCCCTGCAGTATATAGAGTTGGACATATTGTGTTACGATTCTTTTAAGGGACAGGAGGAGGGATGTTGTAGAGCCAGGTCTTTCATCCCAAGAAAAGCCATGGGAGGCAGATATGGTCAAGCTGACAGCGTTAGGTACTAATAGAGCGCAATGCAAAGGCACTGTCAGACCTACAAATCTCTCGTTTTGAGGTCACCTGTCCCCAGTCTTAACAGCTTCTGTAGCCAGAAGCACGCTGAGGAGGCGACATCAATTTTAATTGCCAAAGTTACCAAGTGCCCAGAAGGCCATTTATATGCCCTGCAGTACAAGTCCAAACAAGGCTCATCCTCGCACATCACGATCCATACCAAAGTGCTTTAACTCTTCTACCACTATGTTCCAGATGGGATTTGTTATAAAATACTGGATGGGGAGGTAGTCGTGTTTCTTCTATATCTCTTTTTAAAGTAATACCTGCTGCTTTTCATTTTGCAGTGACAAAACATCGTGAAACACAGACTGTGACAATGGTGGGGGTTTGTTTAGGGGGTTTTGTTGGGTTTGCTGTGTATCCTACAGCTCTAAAATGAGTCAGTTGTGACCCAAGAAATAATTGATGGGGATGAATTTACAGAAATAAGCAATAAACCCTAGGAAGCCTAGGGTTTTGACAGCTAATTTTAGTTAACTAGCTCAAGTTTCATTTGGTGGTGATTAGGTACCCTCAAACTGGTAATTTACTACAATAAAAACTATTTTTCAGAGGATTCATGCAATTGTAAACCACGTGTAGTAGTTTATAATAGCAGTGTTGCATATAGATAAAAAATACCCTGTTGCTCAGCCAATTGGCTGTGTGTTTTTAATTCTCAGCATTCTACAATAATAATAAAACAGCTGGGGCAGGAAATTGGTCATTTGCTAGTAGTTAATGACTGATTTGTGTGTGTTTGCCATCCTCCACCACCAACAGAACTGAATAACACTCTAAATTCCCTGCTCCTTCTGGGTATAAAAATTGTGACTGAGTTACAGAAATTTTACTCTATGGCTTAGTGTATTCAAGATTGGAGAAGATTAATCTCATGCCTGGTCAAATTGTGTTTTAATAGAGGGGGGTTTTTTTACACGTTTTAATGTAGATGGGGGGAAAATGGAAATATTAGCATTTTGATTAATTATTGTAAAGTAGTTCTAGTTAAACTTTTTATATTTTATCTGTTTTTTGTCTTGTATGTTCTCTCACCTCCAACTTTCAGCCT